AAAACATGCAGTAAGAAGAGCATCACCCCAAAAATGTTGAGGAACATCTCCATGAATTAAAAGAGTGTGAGTTGTTTTAATAAGATGTCTATTTTTACGTTCAGCTACACCATTTTGTTGAGATATATAAGCACAAGAAGTTTGATGCAAAATACCATGAAAAGTCAAGAATTGTTTAAAAGAATGAGAAAGATATTCACGACCATTATCACTACGCAAAACTCTAATAGAAACACTAAACTGAGTTTGTATTTCATTAAAAAAAGATTGAAAAATATGAAATACTTCAGAACGATTTTTTCATAAAAAATAACCAAGTACATCTGGAATAATCATCAATGAAAGTAATAAAGTATTGAAAACCTAAAGTAGACTTAACGCGGTTAGATCCCTAAATATTAGAGTGAACCACGACAAAAGGGGATGAAGCACCACATGTGACACTACGAGGAAAGGAAGTACGACTATGTTTGCCTAATTGATACGACTCACATGCCAAACTAGACAACTTAGATAAAACAGGGATAAGCTGTTGTAACTTGACAAAACTTGGATGACCTAACTAAGCATGGAGAAGAGAGGGAGACTCTATAACTGCACCAACATGTGTAAAGGGACGAAGGTGATAAAGATCATGAGACTCACATCCTGTGCCAATCACCTGTTTCAAACTCCGGTCCTGTAAAAACACAGAATTGTTGATAAAAGAAACAACACAATCAAGAGAACAAGTTAGACGACTGATGAATAACAGGTTAAAAGGAGACCCAAGGACATAAATAACATTATCAATGGTTAAAGAAGGGAAAAAGTTTAACAGTTCCAACACCATGAGATGATACTCTAGAGTCATCAGCCAGTGTAACAGAAAGTAAATGATTAGGAGAGGATAAAGAGGAGAACAAAGATTTGTTACCAGTAATATGATCAATGGCTCCTAAATCAAAAACCCAAGGACCAGAAGAAGATTGGGTTAGACCAGCAAAAGATGTACCTGTGTGTGCGACAGACACAGTGGAACTAGAAGACTGTTGTTCCTTATACCATTTGAGAAATTTGTTGCAGGTGTGTCTGATGAAATAGAAAAAGGAGGATCATTAGCAGATAAAGGTGGAGAAAGATTAGTCTGAACAACTGCAGCAGATCGAGGAGGACGACCATGTAATACATAACACTTGTCAATCTTGTGATCTAGCTTGTCACAATGTTCACACTCATGTAATGCATAACACTGATCAATCTTGTGATCTAGCTTGTCACAATGTTAACACTTAGGACGCCATTTTCCCTGTTTGTGAGGGCGAATTCGGTCATCACGGTGAGATACCAATGCAGAAGAATCATTAACAGAAGCAGGTGTGTCAGGATTGGGTTTTGCTGGTACATGCAAAAGAGTGGAGCAGGTCGATGTCAAGGTGGGACAACCGGACTTGTTGATCAATATTCACATATTCGTGATCAAATTTTGGGTTCTTCGGTTGTTCCCACCTTGACATCAACCTGGTTCTGATACCATGTTGAATATAGAATAAATAGAGTTTGAGATTAATCTCTTTTTTTTTTATATAAATCACACATAAGATAATCTATTTATAATAGAGAGATACAACTAAAAGAGTAATCGAAAGTAACCTAATAAACGAGAAAATATTGTTTGATATTATAATTAACAATATCTTAATAATATCTAACAATAAATAATAAAATAAAATAATTTTGTAATAATTATTATCAGAACTTGTAAAGTTATTTTAAAGATATTTCAATACTCAAGTAAATAATAAATATATTTAGTAACTTTATAATAGGGTAGATTAAAAATTATATTGTTTTCTCACCATTTTATAATATTTATATGACTGAACAGGTGATTGAATTTGAAACTTCTTCATATAGGACTATGTTGAGAGTACATATATTCTTAGATCGAACATAAATCTGTCTTTTTTGTGAACAATGATCTTCTTAGAAGTTTATCTTCTAGTTTTTAGCTCCCCAAATAGAAAATGAAAAAACTGGAAATGAAATATTATTGTAAAGATAATCTAACGTTCAAATTATTAATATGTAATTAGTAATTCAAAATATTAATATGTAATTAGTGATTTAACGATAAAATAGACTAAAAATTACCTTATCTCTTCTCACCCTATAATATTTATATAACTAGATTATAAAAACCTGGACCGGTAAAGTACACTTACATCTACTATTTTGGTTAAATCTCATTAAATTTGATGAAAAAATAAACAATAAAATGAAATGGAAAACAGTGCATTGGATTCTTTTATTCTAGACAATTCACATTATAATAACGTAATATTGTTTTGTTTCACTATATTATTCTGTCTTTCTTAATTATTAAAATTTAAAAGTGACATGTCCTTAATATGAGATTCGGATTTCATAAACAAAATATTGTGTTAAAGTTTTGTAAATGGAAAAACTTGATGAGAAAAAATATACTATTAAAAATAACCCACTATATTCTTCCGTATATATTAATAATGAATAAGTACAGTATAATAACCACAATCTTATTATAGCACTATTCATTTAGTTTTTTTTTTTAAAGACAGAACAACTTACTAATAAATGGTCACTCATATACACCCAAACAATCTTAGTAAAACATTAAGCCCAATTTCGGTATCGACCATCGGTAGGCCCAAGTCAAGCTGCCCCTTTCAAACACCATAAAACTTGTTTAGATACATTTTCAATTTAAATTAATAAAAAATTGTGCATATCAAAATCATATCATAAATAAGTTAAAATTTTATAGTATTGGTGTTTTAAATTTATGATTAAAAAAAATCATATTTCAACTTTTGAAATTTAAGATTCTATAGTTTAAATAAAATATATATCAATTAGGGGTGACTTTTCCTCTTACTCGTCTCAATTTTTTTAATTGTCTTTATTATTGTTCTTTATAAAAATATGTATGCAAAATAAACATTTAATTACTTTTTCTTTATATATATAGAATATTTATAATATTATTATGATTATTATTATTATATTGTATTTAAAAATTTGATTATATATATATAAATTATTTTTTTTTGTTTTTTTGAGTTGTAATTTAAAAATATAAAATATATAATTTATAAGAAAATATTTAATAAATTAATTTTTATTTAATTAGTTTAAAATAATAAAAATTTTAAATATTAATTATTCTTAATTTTTTGAAATACAATTATTTTGTTAAGATAAAAAATTTTATAAATAAAAATAATAAGATAAAAAAATATGACATAATAAAATCTAATAAAGATAAATTATAAATAAAATAATAAAATAATATTATTTTATTATATTTATATTAAAATATGTATGTAAAAGAAATATTCAATTATTTTTTTATACGAACGTAAAATATTTATGATATTATAATATTATATTTAAATCTTTTAATACTTATAATATTATTATTATTATAATATTATATTTAAATATTTAATTATATATTATTTTTAAGTAGTCATTTAAAAATATAAAATATATAATTTATGAAAAAGTATTTAATAAATTAACTTTTATTTAATTAAATTAAAGTAATAAAATTTTAAATTATCAGTTTTATAATTTTTAAAATATAATTATTTTATTAATATAAATTTTGATATATGTCAAATAAAAATAATATTTTCTAATATAATAAAATTTAACAAAAATAAATTATAAATAAAATAATAATAGTTATTAATAATATTTATATAAAATATTTTAAAAAATAATAAAAATTAACTTTGTATTTATTAAATTAATTAAAAAAAATAAAAAAATATTGATTAAAAAGATTAAAAAAATATAAAAAATTGAAAGATAAAAAAATAATGTAATAAATTAATTAATATAAAATATTTAAAAAAAATTAAAAAATTAGTAAAAGAAAAAAATAATAATAATAATAAAATATAAAAAATTATCTTATATAAAAAGATTAAAAAAAAAACTAATATTAATATTTTAAAATTTATTTAAATAAAAAATTGAATAAAATTATATTATCCAAGTCCGCTTTAATTTTTTTAAAGGGAAAAAAATTTAAACCTATTCCTTCATTTGATTAATTCGAGTATTTCTTATGAAAGCCAAATAGGCGTTTAATTAACGAGATGACAGTTGGTTAAAACTATTATATTCTTAAGCATGTTGACGAAATAGTTAAGTGAAATACGTGTCAGAATCATCAAATGTAAGGTGATTTGATCAAAGTAACTTAATAGTTACTTTAAACCCATTGACCCGTTGATTTTTTAAATTTTTTATTTTAATATTAATAATAATATAGATTAATTATACCTTTTTAATTAATATTAATAGAAACATTTTTAGTTTTACAAAAATAAAAAATTAAGTTTAGATAAAATTATAAACAGAGAAATCAAGTTATTTATTAAAAGTTATATTTTAAAAAAAATATATGATATATTATTCTTCTTTACATTTGTTATTTTCATGCTAGATTTATGAGCTAGTTTCTTCTTTTTTTCTAAAGTAAAAGATGAGAAAATAAAAGTCAATCTTATTTGATTCAATTGTTTATCTGACAAAATTCCTTTTTTCCAAATCTCAAGTTCTATTTTCTGGTAGAAAAAGATAAATATATTAATTTAAGTATAATATGATATGTTTAATACGTGGATAATACTTTCTGATAATAAAGTACGATGTATTTAACTAGTGTTATCTTTTGAGTTACATGGAAAATAAGATTTTGTCATAAGGTTAAATGATCTAAATGGATTGACATTGTTTTAAATTGTATTAGAGTATATAATTGTGCATTTGAATGAATAAAATGGATGGAGGTTGAATTTATTAAATTCATTTTGGTATGAGTTTTTGGATCATGGATGCATTGTATAATTTAACGTGTAAACATTAATTTCATAAAAAACATTATACTAAAATGATTATTTCATTGTTTCAACAGGGTAATTATGAAAAGACCATTGAAATCAAAAGTGTTATTAAAATCCATAAATATGGAGTTGAAAATGATAAGCAATGTAAAGCTATGTGGGTAAAGGTAATCATTAAATTTATTAAATTTTGAAAAGAAACTCGCTTAAATGGATTTGTTTTAGGCAGAGACTATTAGGTAAAGTTTTGGGTTGGAAAACCTATAGTTTCATCGTAGTTTTAAAGTGTTTTTAATTTTGAAGAATATGTTATGTTACCTATACATTATATTTTTTTTAATTTATAGAGAAACATTTTAAATACAAAAAATTATAAAATAATAATATATTAAATATAAAAATTAATTCTAATTATGAGACTGTCATACTTTTATTTTTAAATGGAATATTAATATTTATCATAAGATCGATAATTCATATCTTTATTTATATATATATATATATATATATATATATATATTTTTTTTTATAAGTGATGATATTTAATTTTCCAAATATTTTTTATTTAAACGAATATGTAGATATCAATAGTATAATAAAGGATGACATGAGAAATATTATAAAGTTTATGTAATAGAATATAATTTAAAAGATAAGATATAAAATAATTTATAAAAAATTTATATAAGAAAAATTATTTATAAATGTAAATAGATTGACAGATTAAATTCTCAATTAGTTAACAAACCTTTAAATATTTTATTGTGGGTATTTTTTTTTTTTCATTAGAATGAAATATAACTTTAATGAGGTGTAAATGAGGTTTTATTTTACATTACTAATGTTTTACATCGTTGTTATATAAAAATGTTTAATGTAGCATGTAATTAGATGATTATGCTAAATGAATGTATGCTTGGATCAAGAGTCAAACTTTGTGAAATGATATGATTTTTAATGTGATGTGAACAAAATATTTATTAGAGATGTAATATTGTGTTGAAATGAATAAAATTTATAATAATTTGATAAATTAATAAGAATTGTAAACATCATACTATATATTTATAATTTTGTTAACATGAATAGTAACCTTAAAAAAAAGGTGTTTATTTGTTTTTTGACAATATACGAGATTAACTTTATATATATATATATATATATATATATATATATATATATATATATATGCATATAAATTTTCAGATAATAATTTGAAAAAGTTACTTATATATAAATTGTTATATATATTAATTTATTCTCAAAATTAAAAAAATACTAATATATTTTTTATATTTGTAATTTATTTTAAAAAATTATTATATATTAGTGTTATTAGATATAATTTAATTTCTATATATAAAAACTAAATTATATTTAATTAAAAATATAAAAATAATTTTAAATAAAAATGAATCATATATTTATTTTATCAATTTATTAACATTAGAGAACTATCTCGAAAAAAATACCATTTTGAGAATATGATTGAGCCATGTATCAAAGATTAAATATATTAAAACCCAATAAGCAATTATAAATGGTCTATCAATTTCAGAGGCGCTCCTTGCGTCAAGTGCCCTTTCATTCAAAAGTAATGATACTATTCTGACTTTTTTTTAAAATATATGTTGACCTTTCGTATTTATATTGAGATTGATTAAGTTTAATTTAAAAATTATTAATGTATATATTGATTATAATAAAACCGTTAAAATTTGTGTTGTTATATATTTTACTAACTATTGATGATAAAAAAATGGTTATGATTGATCGCTTTATTAAACATACTTTACTCATAGTTGTTTTTAAAATTGACAAACATGATTGATTTTTTCATTAATAATAAGATTAAATTAGATTGTAAAAAAACATATAAATCTTTATTGTTTTAAACATTTGTTAGTATGAGTATTTTTTACAATTTATATTTTTCTCCAAATGTTTTTGGTTTAATTTTAATATTAGTGCAGTGATTGCAGGCCAAACAATAGTAAACATTTAATTATTATAAGATTGGAAAATTTAATTATATAACAATACATATTAAAAATAGTAAAAAGAAATGCAATTAATTTATATTTATTTTTTAATAATTTATGTTAAAGTAATTATTATATTAATAAATTTACCATAACAATCTATAATATATTGTAAGAAAATAATTTTATACTGCGTTGCATCATTATTTATTGTTGTTTTATTATATAATTTAATTAAAATTTATAAGTGTATTGAAGAACCGATTAATAGAACGTAAAAATATATAAATATAAAACTTTCATCATAATGAAATATAACTTTTATCTTATTACATAATAAATAATCCATTTAAAGTAAACTTATAACTGCGTTTTTTTAATAAATTTATGATACCAAACATATTTATTATTCTATTTTTACATTTTTTTTCAAATAACTCATACTCATTTATGAAAATAAAAGATACTTATGGCAATATAATTTTTCTATAATATTTGGCTTAGAAAAACAAAATTACATTGTCCTATGTTTCTAAATTACATTGCATAGCAATATATCTATACAAAATTGAACCATCCAATTCAATTAAACTGTATTTAATCTTTGGTAAAGTGACAGTATTTAATCACAGAATAAAAAAAGACAGAATATATCTTTATTAAAAATAATTAAAATCAATTTGTAAACACTTTTACGATTTATAATAAGATAATTATATTAAATCATTCATATTTTTAATATATTTTTTTGAAATATGTTTTATTTATTTATTATATAATTAATAAATAAAATAATTATTTAATAATCTAAATATTTTTTTAACTTGAAGCCTTATGGTGGTCAAGTACAGCTATGATTGACTAATAAAAAGTCTTGCTTCAAGCTTCAACGCTCAAAACCCAAAACCACGTCTATTAACTTTCATTTCTTTCACTTCCCTTCTCTTATCTACTGCTCCCTTTTATTTTATATCATTTTCGTTTCCTTCCCTTTTGTTATTAAACTTAACCAGAATTTCATTTCCCTAAGAATCTGATCTAGGGTTTTTGTCACTGTGCTCGAGGAAGAAGAAACGACTCGCCATGGCGTCGCAGGAGCATATCGAAAAGATGCAGGCACGACAGAATTACCGGAATCTATGGCACACCGATCTCATGAGAACCATTCAGGCCGATACTCCTTGTAAGGACTCTCTCATTCTTTCCTACTTGTTCGAATTTCGGTTTTGATCTTACATTGACATCGTCTCCTATTCTTGATTTATTCGCAGATTGTTGCTTCTCTTTGTTGTGGTATGTGATCTGGAACTCTCTTTAAATGTTTTCATCAATTAATTTCGCTGTTTATCGTTTTCGAAGTGTAGATCTTAACTTGACTGACGGAGTAATTGCGATTCTGTTCAAAATAGTTAGTGTATGCACTTTGTTAAAATAGATCGGTGTTCTTATTTGTTTAATTACATATTTTTCAACATATGAAGATTTGACGAAGAAAATTCTCATCGTATAATAGACAGAATGTGGTTATTCTGAGTGGTTTAAGATTACACTGACGAGTGTAAAACGACTATGGGATGTAGGAATGTGTTATCTGTCAGTTTCTGCTTCTATATGCCAAACCTTTACAACAACATAGAAAGGGTTTTATGAGAATATAACAGAGTAAGATTGTATTGAATAAAAGTTTTACTGGTAATATTTCAATCTGCCCTGATTAATAAATTTACAGGGTTTTATGAGAATTCAATTAATTTAACATGTTATAACAGAGTGAGGTGAGATGGTATTGAATAAAAGTTTTACGGGAAATATTTCAGTCTGCCCTTGTGTCTCTTTTGGTTGCGTATTATTGCAAGGAAAGATATGTTGTGTGTCTCTTCTTAAGTTGAAGAGATTTAGTTGTTTTTTTGTATTGTACCCAAATTAGGGGTCTCTTCTTTTGTGAATGTTTTAGTTGGATTGGACTATAATATATCTTCTGTAAATACCTTGAGAAACTTTTAATTTTTTTAAATGTTAAACACGTTCTTGAGGTTTAGATTCATGTTCATTCTTGAATAGAGAACAGGCCATGTAGGTGTGGTGTATGGCTTGGCTTGTATTTTGAACTGGTTTCCATTTCCACGTATAAACTTATAATTAAGTATAAGTTCACACTTAAAATTTATGTATGATTAGCTTGAATAAACTGTCCCTGAATTTGATTCATTAATTTTTTTCATATCCACAATGCAGCTGGAGTATCACAATTTTAATTGGTCTACACACTTTAGGCATAAAGTTAATTTATTTTCTGCAGTATTAATATATTTTTTCTTTTCCATCATAGTGCTCCATGTGTGTCTTACCTTCTTCGTAAACGAGCTCTTTATGATGACATGTCAAGGTAATTGATACTATTTCTGTTTTTCCAACCTTTCAAAATAATATACATATCTGTTTGTGTGATATACCTGTCATTATTTTTGTACAGATACACATGTTGTGCTGGTTACATGCCCTGCAGTGGTAGATGTGGAGAAAGTAAATGTCCTGAATTTTGCCTTTGCACTGAGGTATTAAAATGTGGACTTGTTTTCCTTACTTTATGTTTCTGATATTTTGGCTGCATGTCATCCCTCCGTATCACTCAGTTGGCTATGATGCCTTAACCATTGCATGACATTAGTCCAAGTTTATCACATATTATAATAGAAAAAGAAAACGCATTGCAGGATATTATGGCTAGGCTAGTAAATTGTTTCCAAATTTTGAGAGTAGGCTTGCTATTACTGTTATCGTCGTTGTGTGTGGAATCATTCAATAAAAATGATTAACTCTTAAAGGTGAAGGATGATAGTGTTATGGAAAAAGGCCATGGGGGCGTCATGGCGGAAATCGGTGGTGGAATTTTGCTGACCGCCACGGCATGGCGGTGGCGAAACGGATTTTGCATGGCGGGCCATGGCCGCCTCTTTGCCTGTAACGGAATAGCGGAGCGGTCATGGCGAAAATCTCGCTCCCGCAGCCCCCACCTTGCATCTAGAGCTAAAATAAGATGTGTCGGGTCCGTGGAACCCGACCCACCACTAAATTTAATTTGAATAATCTGATGTTTTATTCTCTATGGGTTTATAAGAGACCCAGCCCAATAGCAGCCAAAAACACCTTCTAAAAAAAGTTGGGTTATACAGCCCAACTTAAATGACAGCTGGCAATAAAGGTAGGTTATTTTATAACCCATCTTGCACTTTCCTCCAATTGCAGTGCCGGCGCCCGCCACCGCCACTGTCGCCGCTGCTGTAACCGCAGCAGCCGCTGCCGCCGTCACACTGTGAATTACTGATTTTTTTTTCTCTATTTTTTTTTTCTCAGTTCAATGCCATATTTTTTTTTATTCTTCATTCATTCTTCTTAGTTCAGCCCCATATTTTAGAACATGGAATTTGATGATATTTTGCTTTAATTTAATTGTTATTTCAAATTTTAGACCATATTATTAATTATATGATTACTTTTTATTATTTTTTTGTATTTCAATTATATTTACACATTTAATTTATTTATTTTTCATATTTATATATTATATTTTTTTGTCCGCGATATTTCACCGTAATTTGATATGAAATCCGGTTTATGATATATTCTCATAAACGATTTTTGGGTTAGCGATATTTGCCGTTATTCGATAATACTGGAAAGAGAAAGGTTGGGTTAAAATTTGTAACCATAAAACGCAAGATCGGTTTATCACTTTTGGTATGTGGGGAGAAGCTAGGCACTAGCAAAAGGTAATGAATATTTAAGGTTGAATTAGTCTATATGTTCCTGTACTAATTTGGAATTTTCAATTGAAGTTTATAAATTTGAGAATCCAACCCATTGCAATTTCAAAATTTCTTATTGGACCGTGTGTCTACTGTTAGTATCCAAATAGGAATTTTTGGAACTCTAGGGACGTAGTTCCGAACTTGTAATATTGAGATCTTATTAAAATAATTAAGTTTATAAAACAAGAAAGCTCGAGGTTTAAAGCTGATTTTGAAGAAGTTAATGATCAAATAAAAAAGCATATCGAAATTTCTTAACATACCAATGTCCTTAAAAATGGCAAATGTTGACCCAGTGGTGTGTCTTCACCAGTTTGTGATTGTCATCGTCAGAAAGGACTAACAAAGGAGTGGGTTTATTAAGTAAGCTATTGAGTCCATTTATAAGTTAAATCACAACCATGCTCCTTTCACTGTAAGTTGTTGAGTTATTGCGTAGTTGAAAAATGAAAATGTACTAACACTAGATTTAGAGCAAAAAATAAATGCTTTATTAAAATGAATGGGATTAGAAAATGGCATTTTGCACGATTATATTTGCTATTAAATAAATGTCACGCAGGATTGTTTTGGAGCTCTTTTTTTCAGTCTGGAATTTTTTGATGATTGTCACATTGATATATGCATCGTTGTTTCAGGTTTTCCTCTGCTTTGGAAACTCGGTTGCCTCAACTCGCTTTCTATTGCAAGATGAATTTAACATTCAAACTACGCAATGTGATAATTGCATTATTGTATTCTCCCTCTCTCTTCTTTACTCTTGCATTCACAGCCAGATTCACGGGCATATATTTATTTATTTATTTATTTTCAATGATCATCAGTTAATTACATGTACTTCTTTTATTTAGGGTTTCATGTTTTGCCTTCAACAAATTGCATGTATATTCTCTATTGTTGCCATGATTGTGGGAAGCGAGGAAATTCAAGAGGCTTCTCAGTTGCTATCTTGTTTGGCCGACTTTGTATACTGCACGTAGGCATCCTCTTCTCTCTCAAGTCTCAATAAATTGAGCACTTTATATTGGAAAGAGTTTGTACTAAATTTAATTCTTTTTTTATTTGTAGGGTCTGCGCATGCATGCAGGTAAGTTTGTTATTTATTTCTGAAATGGTTAGTCAATCATGATGTCGTAGGCATGAAAACTATCACTTGAGCAAATTTTATTTGCAGACTCAGCACAAGATTGAAATGGACAAGCGTGATGGGAAATTTGGACCCCAACCAGCAATGGCAGTGCCCCCTGTTCAGGAGATGTCACGCATTGATCAACAAGTTCCTCCTTCTGTTGGGTATGCACCACAACCTGCATATGCACCACAACCAGCTTATGGACAGCCCTATGGTTATCCACCTGCCCCACCACCTTCTCAAGGGTATCCCGCTCCTGCTTACCCCTCTACTGGTTATCCCCCTGCTGCCTATCCTCCCCCTGCTGCCTACCCTCCCCCAGGGTATCCCCCTTCTGGCTACCCTAAGTGATTAGTTTATCATGCATTGTGTTGGTCTACAGCTTCTATTAAACAATCGCACATGTTTGTGGTGAGGTGCTATAGTTCCATTGATTAATTATTTTGCATTTCCCCTAACAAGTTCTGTTTTGTCCCTTGACATTGTAATTCCTGTCTTGATGTCTATTCTGATACTTTCGCCTTCTATTTGTATATTGTTCTCGTTGGTGTTCATAAATAGATCACTTTCGCTTGTTATGTGCAATATTCGGTGTAATGTTCCAAATATTAAAAAAAAAGGTAACTCGTGACTCAATGTGTGACGGACATGGGTTATTAGCATAGTCGTACATGATAGCCATTGGACGGACTGAGGGTGCTTATTTCAATTAGTTTGAGTATATTCTATGGTAATATGATCTTGGTGATATAAGTTTATTGAGTACCTTTGGAACGGAAAAGGTTTCCCGGATCGAGTCGTTCCTGAGTTATTAAGTTAATCAAGTATGAAGTACACCTATTTATTTATTATAATTTTTTTAAAGTTTTAGTTTCACTTGTTTAAAATCTTATTTGACTTAAAATTTTATTTATAAAAGGATTTATGAACAAGCCAATCGGTCTAATTAGACTAATGAAATGACAAAAAACTTCTAAGAAAAAAATACAAAAGGAAAAAAAAGGAAAGCATCAATCAGATTCAAATCATTTTAATCCAATGAATATAACTATTTTTCTTAGAATAATAGCAATTAAATCTTAAAAAAACATTTTAATTATTCGGTAAAAATTATAAGAACTAAATTAATTTAACTGAAACTATAGTTAAATTTATCATATATAATATCAATATGATTTTTATAATTTAAAAACTACAAGTTTAAAAAACCTTAAATAATTTGTATTTAAATAACTTGATATATTTAATAAATTTATTAATTTGTATATGATTATCTTAAAATTACAAAACTATGTGTTTTCCATTTGACTTATATTTGATTTTTCTATATTTCTTATTTTAATTATTGTTAGTTTACTTTATTTTATTCTCATATATATATATATATATATATATATATATATATATATATATATATTAATGAACTGATAATTTTTTTATGTACAAGTAGAGGTGTAATATGAGTTCATGGTGGCAAAAATGTTATTTAAAACTAGTGGTGAAGTTACAGTGAGAATTTTATGATAACCTTGACCACGACCATAACCTTAGTGTTGAAGTAGTAACGAAAACAAGACTGGGGAGGGGACAAGCATAAGGGGGCACACGAGGGAGAACATAAGTATAAAAAAGAAGTAGAACACAAATTCAAATCTAAATTTACACAACTTTTTATGTTTTCTACCGCGATAAATGATATATTATTATTTACAAATATTTTATATTTTTCACTGATCTTTATTCTCACTTAAATGCACCAAATCACTCACAATTATAACTGAGTTTCCTATGAAATTACTTCATCCAAAAATTATAATTACTCATGAAAAAAAATACAGGAAAAAGATTGCATGGGTAATTTAACAATGTTAATTAATTCAATTTAATTAAGAAGTATTAACAATATAATCTATTGTTACATGTCAAAATAACGGTAGACTATTAGTAAAATAAATGAATTCCATAAAATTGTAATTCATAATGAATCTTAGTGAAGAAAAGTATTAAAGCGGACATATCAAATAATGCATTAATAGTGTTTTTATTTAATCTTTAGATAAAACTAAAACTTTAGTTTTTTTTTTAATAATTTACAACATATTTATACACAGTCAACTCTAATAGACATTGTGGATATAAATTTTAATATAATTATTATCAAATAATACACAATTTAGAATAATTAAGTAAAAGTTTAAAAATGTTTTATAACAATATTATAAATAAGATATTTGTTCTTCTTATACTATGTTCAACATTATTTTTATAGAGATAATGTTTCCAATTCTTTTAGATAGAAAGAAAGCATTTAAAATGTATGCAAAATCCTATTATACATATACATTGCAAACATATAAAAAAATGGTTATTTGTAGAGATCGCAAAATGAATTAAATTTGTTAGGTCGGTTGTTAACGGTCTCAAAATTAACGGAGTAAATTTATGATTTTAATTTATTTTAACCCGTTTCACGTAATTTGTCCATCCAATAGTAATGATTTAACTCACTTTTAAAATATATTTATATATTAAAATAAAAATAAAAATTTATAATTATAAATATTATATTTTTTATTATATATTTAAAAAATATAAATATATTATAATATTATTGTATAAATAACCATGTTACACAGTTTTTCTGATTTTCCTGTGTTGATAAAACCAGCCACCCTACCAGTTACCATTCTCCTACGTTACAAAAGTTGGAAACAAAACAAAAGTTTCCCTGTCTTTTTATGACCAAAATTTGTCGAAACTGTGATGCCTCCACCCACTGCCACTCAATTCCTTCACTTCACAATCCATGCTCCAAAATCCCAATACCCTAAAATCCAAAAGCAATTCAAGGTGTACTCTTTGAACGTACTATTCAACCCACCATTAATGAACAAACCATTGCTTGCAAGTTACAAATCCAGAAGGGAACAATACAAATAATAATAATAATAATAATAATAAATTAAAAATGATTTTTTATTAAGAAATTACTATTAATAAAGGTTACCAAAACCCTAAACCATGTTACTGTAACTGTTCAAATCGAATAATAATTTTTAGCTGGTCGCGTGCTTTCTGTCGTTCATGATGAACCTTCAGAGTTTCGCACCCAAAATTAGTAATGGTTCAAAATCAAATTAAACCTCCAAAAAACTGCATTTTTTCTTTACACTTAGTTTCCATTCTCCACGTTTTAAAGAAAACTTTATACCTAATGTTAATTCAAACATGATTATGTTTTACAAGTCAAAATGGTAGAGATGGATGAATCAGATCCCAAATCTACACATTTAAATGAGAGAATGATATACAATTAAAGTCTCAAATTTTCCCATGACCTTTGTACATATACACATACACAAAAAATTCAGAAAAGAAAAAAGAATCGAAAACAGAACATCCTCTTCTGGTTCTTCTTCATCAATTTCTCTTCCCCAAAAAAGAAAATTAACCAACATTATTTGAAATACCATTAACGAAGCTAGGAAGCAGGAACAAGAGGATGTTCAGAGATCCCAGACGCAGCCCATAGTCTTTCAATGAAGGTACCTTGCATATCGTCAGGTATAAAGGGTGTTCTGCAAAGAGGGCACGTTCTCTGATCGTACCCCATCCAACGGTCCAAACATCCTCGGTGGAATATGTGGCGACAATTGGCCAGCCGTCTGATCTCATCGTTTTCCTCGAACTCCGTGAGACAGACGGCGCAGGTTTCGGGGGGGTCAAGGAGGTCGCGGAACTTGACGACGGGGAGGATTTCCCTGATGAGCGTGGCGGAGACGGATTCGAATTCGGGCATTCGGGTGTGGGCTTCGGGCCAAGCAATGTCGGGCTCGAGGAAATCGTGGAGGCCCATGAAGCGGAGGAGGGTGCAGATGAGCTTCCGGAGGAAGCCCAAGAAGGAGAGAAGGTGGAGGAGAAGCTTCGGGAAGAGAAGCTCCGTGTAGCCCACTGGGAAACCCATGGGATCAGAACTTCTTGATATTGTTTGAAGAGAAACAATGGAGGAGAGAGAGAGTGTGAAGTGAATATAACTCACAAGCTATGTTATGTTAAATAGGAAGATGAAGAGTTTGAGGTTGGAATGACAACCATGGGAGCTTATTAATGATACTTTTTTACTCTCACGCAAATATATGAAAAAAATACACCTTTTTTTTTTTCTCAATTCAAGATGTAACTATTTTTATTTTATTTTATTCTATTTTTCAAAAGTACCCCATATTTAAGTAACATCTTATATTTGATTATACCATTATCATATGAAGTTAATAACAAAAACATTTTTAAAAAAATATTATAAAGTTGATTTTTTTTAATTATGATAAGTTTATTTAAACTTAAAACAAATAATTTAAAAAAATCTTGTTTTTTTGTTTAAGTTAAAACATGTATATTTTATTAAAAAAATGAAAGCAAATAAGAAGAAAGAAAATTGCGTATTATTTTCACCTCTAATTAAGTGCTATTAGCTGTCTTTATTTATGGGCTGGGTTCACCCTCTCCCTATCACTAATCTGTTTTTCTTTTTTTCGGAAATGAGTGGTACTGTTGGGTCAAATTTTTATATTATTATTATTATTATTATTATTATTATTATTATTATTATTATTATACGTTACATTACTATTTCCACTGAAAAACTTTATTTAACCATTTCAAGTGGGAATCTTATTCCTAATTTTTATTCAATATAAACAAACTCAAGATCTTATTTAAAAAGATTCTATCCAAATTTATTGGGATAAACATAATGTCAGTATATTATTGAATATATGGATAGAAAATAGAGAACTGGTAAAAAAAAAATAAGATGTAACACATTATGTAATAAAAAAAATATAAGAGAAGGAAAAAGAATATGTTGAGAGCAAGAAAATCATAGATAATTATTTTTTTTATGGGAGTCTTTAATGTAATAAAAAATTATTAATTATGATAATAAGTTATGTAATTTTTTAAAGACGTATTAATTTTTACTGGTCCTTAATACTATAGTATAATAAATTTTAATATAATCATATATATATATATATATAATCATATATATATATATATATATATATATATAATCAATAAAGATATATGAGAGTGATTTTGTAAATTAATTCATGAAAAATTTCCCATAGAATTCAACATATTAATGACTTATATCCAAATTCTTATTCTTATTTATTTTTTAGAGAAACTTATCTGAATATATTTATCTTGTTTTTTCATTAGAAAGTGAGAGTTGATTTGATGGTGACAAAAAAGACAGTGTTTTGAATGATGTTAGGAAAACTCAGATAACACAACCTTATTAAAAAATGATGATGATGATGGTGAGATTTTCTTGGGAAATCCTTGCA